AGACGATGGTCAAGGGATAGGGTGACTCAGGAAGGGTACGAGGCTCAGGATGAGTAAGGATTAGAAATCTGGACTAGGATGTTTTGGATGAGTAATGTTTAGTCTGGTCCTGTTGGTCATCCAACAAGAGATGGTGGGTCGGTCGAGCGCTTGCGAGAGGAACTGTCCCTCTAGCGCCGAGTACGAGAAGCAGTGAGCCCCACTCATCCAATTTTAATAAAAAGAACCATGATACTAAGTTTGATTCAGAGTTTCCCCCTTTGCAAAGTCTAAAATGTTAGTTTTCTCAACGCAGAATGGAGAGTTTCATAAAAATCGGTGCGTAACAGTCGGGTAACGTTGGTTGGAATATTTGGCGGACGCAGGGGCGCGGTAATTGGTGGTCACCGGCGTTATCTTCGCGCGGTTTGAAGGAGCTCGGCACATTTAACGGTCAATTGACTCTCGACGGTCCTTCTCGTTCTTCTTTTTGCTCGCTCGGAAGACCGGTTCGGACGTATTTGCGAGCAGACGAGGGCGCCGGGCACGGAACGCGGCGCACACGCGGCCCTTGCACCTACCAAGGGGGGGCGAACGGTACCCGTTCGCTTGTTGGAACAATGTATGGTTCGTTTCATGGCTCGTTAACGCGCCGTAACAGTGATTCGCGTGTACGTTTGTCGCGCTCGGTTGAGCGTCGTTTAACGAGTAACCGACGCACTTACGCTTTTCACGACCTTCTTCCTCGTCCACTCGCAACACTCGCTAGATTCTGGCGATAGAAACGACCCCAGAGAAAACTTGTACCCGTTCCTTTTACAAAAATATACTCGTTGAAGTTAAAAAAAAATGTAATAATTTTCTATCGATAATTTTCTACCCGAGAAAAATCTTGTACCTGTTCTTTTTACAAAAATATACTCGTTGAAGTTAAAAAAAAAGTAATAATTTTCTATCCGAGAGAAATCTTGTACCCGTTCTTTTTACAAAAATATACTCGTTGAAGTTAAAAAAAAAAGTAATAATTTTCTAACCGAGAGAAATCTTGTACCCGTTCTTTCTACAAAAATATACTCGTTGAAGTTAAAAAAAAAAGTAATAATTTTCTACCCGAGAGAAATCTTGTACCCGTTCCTTTTACAAAAATATATTCGTTGAAGTTAAAAAAAAAGTAATAATTTTCTATCGACCATCGGTAGGTAGAAATCGTAGGCTCTAAGGTAACGACCCTAAGCAGCCGCCTGAGTTGTATAAAGGGCTCTTAAGCAGTAAAAGAGCGGAGGGTCTTTTGGAGAATACGAAATGTTCGACAGACTTGATCCTAATTTAGCTTTCGCGTGGAAGAATTCGATTGACTTTGACAAAACGATCTATTTTACGAACACTTTCCACGGTGCTTCCCTCGGGAGAAGAATACCATCGTAAACGCCTAATTAACGAGATGTGCGAAAAGGCCACACGCGGACTTTGAGGTCTCCCCGTCCCTGTTTGGGTGCAACCGAATCCCATATTCGCCTCAACGGGGGGAAAAAAACAGGGGCAGCCAGTCCTTTGCGAGACCGCGCCCCAGCGTATTTACCCCGTTCGAATCTTTTGCAAACACCCTTCAACCTACTCGCAACCAACGCCCTCGAACCCAGCCGCCGACTGTTCTCTTTTTTTCTCGCGACTAGTCATGCGTGTCTTCCTTCCTCCTTCGTGCCTTCCTTTCATACGGCGAGGCACCGCGTACACGGGCCTCCGAGGTACAAGTGAAAACCCCTCCACCGGGTGCAACCAGTCGAATTCGCTTAAACGAGCATCGTCGTGTAATTCACCGTGAAACTCGGAAGAATCCCGCGCCGACGTTACGCGCGCTCACTTTGAATTCAAGTGCGCGTTAAGGTCGGTCCCGGAACGCCGGTGAATTAATCAGGAGCATTTCCTGCTGGCAAATCTCGCGTGTCGGCCAGAAAGAAACCCTCCCGCGACCGTGGAATCGCATTTCTGCACGAGGAGAACGAGGATCGTATAATTTTTATTATCGCGAGGACTGCGGATGATAAATTAATAAATCAAGGGGAACTCGAGGCGTTCCGCGTGTTTGCGAAAAGAAAAACTGCTTACATTTGACCTGGTGATTCGTGGAAGAGTATAATAAATGATAACTACGACAGGTGAACGCGTTCACTGTCCGGTCTCTCAGCGGCGTATTCTAAAGCGTGGCGCTGTGACCCATATACAGGTCATGGACAGTGAACGTGTTAATGTATTTAGATGTTGCTGGTTCGGTGTCTACACTCGGGTCAACGAGACGATGGTCGATCCTGCTGCAGTCATTAGACACTTACGAGTTTGTTTTCGTTTGTTGATTCGCCTCGTTGGCCCGAGTATAGATCGAGTTTTGGCCCGTGTCCTTTTAGATAAAACACCGACACCTTCTCTAAAGTTCGAGACCATTCCAGAACGCGGCCTAATTACAAAGATGTCACCCCTTGCTAGCTAGCTTACTCAAACTGTTGGTTTTGAGTACCCACTCAATACGAATTGAATTTGTACGAATTTAAGATCAATGTGATATTGAGAAGATCTTGGACGACGTTCAAAATGTCTGCCATCGACTTGAAGAGGTTTCTCAGATAATAATCGAAGCGTGCCAATGATTTTACTACCGAGTTGGCACGTGTTCCCCGATGGAGGAAATCCAAGGGAAGATTTTGAGGAAACTACTGACAAACATACCATTCTCCATCGATTGAAAATTCTAGCCTCTCCCTTAATCCGTATTTTGTTACAGCGCGCAAGGGAGGAGCGTAAAGCCTGGCGCGAAGGGACGCTGGGGGCTGCAGGGACTGTTACGGTCGATTCCAAGTACCGTCCTCGAGGGTTTATGACACGGCAATCGCTATCCAGATGAACTCGTTATGACGATAGGTATGCACGTGTTCGACAGAAACGAAGAAAATTACCTTCCATGGCCTTCGTCCCTTATTTAATTACTCGTCCGAGGTACATAGATGTTCCTCCAAAATGGCGAGATTCTGGTATCGGTATCATAAACCTCGACACACAAAAGGCCTCTCCGGGAGACCTTAGCCACGTGAATTCCTGTTACAAAGCAATTTTCGACGACAATAGCGATTGGACTTAATAATGGGATATCGTGCTTTGTAACTAGAATTTGTACATTTGGTAGTCCTTAATGTATATACACAATTTTTGTAACGAGCAACCGATAGATAGAAAAGAACGATAAATAAAATAAACGAGCACGATATGATTGTTTCGATAAAAGTGACGAGGTTTCTTAAAAAATGGAGAGGTCTGGGGAAAGCGTGAGAAGGTCGAGCGTTGATCCATTGTCGCGAGCAAACCCGTTTTACGTCGGGAACGACGAAGTAATTTGGACAGTCAGCGAAGAAAAAGCAATTGTCGGTCTGAAAGTTCACCCCGGGTGCCGATTCTATGGGAACGTTTCGAGCAGAATCGTTCGAAATCGATTTCGATTTCGCTTTCAATCGCCGTAGCCCGTTGTCGTCGAAATTCTATCGCGAGAAATCATCGCCGCCACGTTCTTCGGGGAAGTGGCGCTCTGTTGTGGGTTCACGCTCCACACTCGACCACGACCCGCGTCCACAGTTCGTTATTTATCCTCAAAGGCCTCCACGAGCACCCTTTGTCCCGTGTTTTGCTTACAAACGAAACGGTTGTTCTTTATCCGCAGCCAGTTGAACGTCGTTGTACACACACTCGGGCCATCGTCGTTCGTTCACGACGAAAGTATCTCGAGAGGAACTTCCGTTGTCGTTTTTCTCGGCGAGGAAAACATTTTCGCGGGAACGGGGGTTACCGATAACGTCCTATCCGGGACTCGAACCTTGAAAATCGCCTCCAGTCGCGTTATGCAAATCAAAGCAAACACTTTGGCGCAGCCTGAACGAGTGCACGGCGTTAGAACTTTATCGGGGCCCGAGACAAGGAAAATAGTGGAATTTAGGGGCCCCGTCTCAAGAAAAACCGAAAATAGTCGATTCAACCTCGTTTTGGAAGAAATAATAGAGATAATATAACAACTGGTATTTTTACTACCTTCTTTGAGAAACTTTATATAAATTTTGCTTGTTACGTATTTACGAAATTTTAGTTAACCCTTTGCACTCCGAATTATATTTCAATTTTGTTACCAGCAGCCTTTAAGCGTTTTGTTTGAAATTTACCTGTTAAAATATCTGTTTTGTTTACACTGTCGTTGCATTCTGTAACTTTCAAGTGTACGGATATCTCTTTGAGAGCTCCTGAGATCAAAATTGATGTCGAATCACACTCGACATAGGAGTGCAAAGGGTTGATATCCAAAATCGATTATTTGCTTTCGCGATTAAATTGAAAATTACTAGACTGCGGATCTTTATGCAAATTCACATTTTTATTAACAGAATTAATGAAACAGAAGCTTCGCAGAGTCTCAACCCCTAAATATAATAATTCGTATCTTACTTTAAGTATTTCTTATATTTTTGCGTATTAAATGCATTCTGTAGTTTATTGAGGATTAAAATTTCCCATAAATGCATAAATATAATAATTCGTATCTTGCTTTAAGTATTTCTTATATTTTTGTGTATTAAATGCATTCTATAGCTTTTTGAGGATTAAAATTTCCCATAAATGCATAAACATCCGCAGTCTATTCATTACAGATAATAGTTCCAATGCCAATACGAGATGATATTGTACACAATTTCGTGGCAAGAAAATATACCAGCGTCGATGTGTTTTGGAGGTGTTTTGAAGACAGTTGACGACAGATTTATGGCCGCGTTAGGGACCGAGCGAGACCTTGACGAAAGCCAAGCACCCTCGCGAGCGTTGTGCCACGAAGTCGACGGTCGTTGATTGTTTACGATAGGCTTGCACGTGTCGAGCGAGGCGGCCGTGCCAATGCTGTGTTAAATAACAAAGATTTTGTCCTGAAGGACTTCGCCTCGAAGCGGGGAAGGCAGCTAAGGCCTTTTTGGTAGGACAGAATTCATGGCACTCACCCTTGAACCTCGAGCTGAGACGCATCTATTAGTGATCTCTACCATCAGACGAGTCCATTCTAAAAAGAAAGTGTTCAGAGTTATTACAAGTAGTGAGCAATATTATCTGTGTTTAGTAACAATGGATCAAATTACAATGAACATTGCAACGTAGCTTGTGACTGGAGAGTGTACGATTCCAAAAGCGATTAACTGTTACCTGTTCTTGGTAAGTAACTATTTTTAATTTTGTTTAAACTAGAACTTTCATTCTCAAGGAGTTTTGTTCATTTCTTCTCGTCTGGACTTATAACGCGAGAGCTTTTATTACAAGAGAAGAACCGATCAAAGAAGTTGAACAACCGTTTCAATGGCTGCATGGAGTATCTGTGTTTCTGTGTTTTTTCGCACGATCGAACGACGATGAATCATTACTACTGGGCAGAAATCAATCGCGGCTAAGAATACGCTTATTAGCGAGCGTGATTTTGTTCGTATTCCATTCATTATCGTTATCGACTGTTCTGTTTGCCCCAGCATCATCGACGGATATAAATTTTTAGATAAAAAAGAGTCCAACAAGCCGCCTCCGTGGCGCAATCGGCTAGCGCGTTCGGCTGTTAACCGAAAGGTTGGTGGTTCGAGCCCACCCGGGGGCGAATTTCTTTTGTGGAGAAATTTTCTATTCGCAATTTATAACGCGATCCATGCATGTACAATCGGAAATCAATGTATTTCCTCCATACGGACAAGTCGCTCGTTGAAATTCCAACGGGCATATTTCGTCGGGGTTGCAAACTCTCTTTTCGCTAAATCGATCGAAATTGGATTTTTTTTATTTTATTCTATCATTCTGCAACTTTCAAACGAAAAAAATACTGTTCTTTGTAAATATTGAAATATGACAATTCGTCGTTAGTTTATACAGGGATGATTATAATGGGAGATTCTAGAGGCCAAAATAAGACGAAAATCAAGAATATCAATTTCTTGACTTAGGCTTCGTTAAAAAGTTATTAACAATTAAATTAAAAAATTTCAAATCGTTCTGGAAAAATTATTTTCGGTTGCGGGGGTTAATTACAATCATTTTTGGTCATTACATATACTCCCGAAATCCTACGCATTTTCGAGAAAAAAAATCGGGAAGATGCTGAAATTATTCGGCGAAAAAAAAATTTTTCGAATCGTTCTAAAAAAATTATTTTCAGTTGCGGGGGTCAGTTGCAATCATTTTTGTTCATTGCACATACTCCCGAAATCCTACGCATTTTCGAGAAAAAAATACGAGAATCTGTGAAATTTTTCGACAAAATTCAAAAATTTCAAATCGATCTGGAAAAATTATTTTTAATTGCGGGGATCAATTGCAATCATTTTTGGTCATTACACATACCCCCGAATTTCTACGCATTTTCGCGAAAAAAATTCCAGAATGTGCTGACATTTTTCGGCGAAAAAAAAATTTCTTAAATCGTTTTAAAAAAATTATTTTCGGTTGCGGGAGTCAATTGCAATCAATTTTGGTCATTACACATACTCCCGAAATCCTACGCATTTTCTAGAAAAAAATTCGAGAAGATTTGAAATTTTTCGACAAAATTAAAAAATTTCAAATCGACCTGGAAAAATTATTTTCGTTTGCGGGGGTCAATTGCAATCATTTTTGGTCATTGCACATACTCCCGAAATCCTACGCATTTTCGAGAAAAAAATTCGAGAAGATGTGAAATTTTTCGACGGAAAAACAAAATTTCAAATCGTTTTGGAAAAATTATTTCCGTTTGCTGGGGTCATTTGCAATCATTTTTGGTGAATAGACATACTCCCGAAATCCTGCGCATTTTCGAGAAAAAAATTCAGAACTTTAAACGTTAATGACTTTTTAACGAAGCCTCCATCAACAAATTGGTATTCTCGATTTTTGTCTTATTTTGGCCTCTAGAATATATTGTCGTTATTAAGGGCACTGAAACGGAAATCCTAGGAAAATATATTTCCCTTTCACTTCCAGGCAGTGTTGATTGATTATACTTTCAATTGATCGTTCAGTCTAACTAAAACTTGCAATTGAAAAGTCGGATGAAATTTGCAATCAAAAAAATAATTGTTACCCTTATTTATTTAATAATTTCATAATTGCTCCAATCGTCAATTTTCGTAACATTTTACGTAGCATTGGTTTTAGGAATAATACATTTAAGATTCAAAGAAGAGATGCAACAAAATTTTGAATTTGATGAATTACTTTAAAAAAAAGTAATTCGCCCAACGTGGGGCTCGAACCCACGACCCTGAGATTAAGAGTCTCATGCTCTACCGACTGAGCTAGCCGGGCAGATGTCTTCTTCCTTCACCATTATTCTAAAATTCGTATTGTTAAACATAAATATAGAAAAAAGAAAAAAAACAATACATTTATTGCATCTGCAATCGTTAATTTTATTAAAATCAAGTTAACTGTTAATTGTTAATAACCGCTTTCAAACACATCGATAGAGGTAGAAAATAACCTATCGTACTAAATATAATGAAATTCGTTCCAATAGGTGTAGTCTGTAATTTGTTATTTCTTATCTGACAGCCATTCAAACTAAATGTTGACAGGCTGTCCATGTATTACTAACTACGCGACATATTGACGCATATGGCACAAACCGTTCGCTTTCTGTGTGACGATAAAGTACGCACGTCAGTTAAAGTATTAACCTTTTAATTGCTGTTCTCGAGTAAACTCGAGCGTGGGTAAAAAATATTATTTTAGACCTTCGTATTGAGAAAAAAGCCACGAGTCGTACAAACAGTTTGACGTCGTTTGACAATTTTTAACCTCTTCGTTTAATTTTGACATACATTCGACAAGTATCATTACGAAAAGTGAAATTCTGAAATTGTATTAGTACTTACACACAAGCCTTTTTCCTGCCACTGATTAATTCAGGAGAGAGTGTTAATCTCGTCGTTGCTCGACATAACCTAGCACGGAATGACAAACCCGATATCTGGCACGCTTAAATGCCGTGCAGCACTTACCGCGTCTATCGTGAATATAAATTTGCACCCTGCGAAGAAAATGACCGTCGTATAGAAATAAATATTCCGTGCATAAGACATTGTTCCCGGCTTAGTTTTCGAAAGACGCTACACCGCGACAAACTTTCAAGGCAATTTGCGTACTTTACGAGGCTTTCTATCCAACGGTCGAGCTAAAGCGGCTAACCTACCAAAGTGCACCAAACCCGTGTCAATTTTTAACGATAAAATGCGCGGGAAACGTTATTCGCAGTGTAGATGATACTTTACGAACACAGATACAAAACAAACTTACGTTACATGGAGTCCTACGTTTCTCTTTCTAGCGATTACACAGCTGCATGTTAGTTCATTCGATATTTCTTCCTTAAGATTGTGCCAAAAACGTCGAACGGACGGTCGTTGAAAGTCCTCTCGAAATCGTTTGAAAGTTAACCCTCTTGCGACGTTCCCATTGGTCGATGCTCGTCTCTATAGAGAGTGTTTTATCTCGGAAGTCGAGCCATGTGTTTACTGTAGCTCGAACTCAGCACTTCGTTCTCCGGTTACAAACTTATCTACAGAACGATCGGTTTCTGTTTTAGCGTCGAAGAATAAATTCTGTTGCCAGTATATGTCCGAGCACCGTGAAAGAAAGACGAACATCGATTTGCACGATTTATCAGCGAAAGTGTCAGAATCTCGAAGATCGGTGCTATTTCGATAATCGAAGTTTAACGGTTCGTGCATCTGCCAATGCAACGAAAAGCGCGGGCAAAAAAAACTACGAATGACAAAAATAACTGGAACGTTCGAGATGCAATGACAACGAATATATGCTTATAAGTTGAAGTGTTTTCGATATCATCTTTCGTCGTTATGTACAGTATCGGGTTTCAATCATTCGTAAAAGCTCTGGCAGCCTGTGTTTGCATCCACAGGTGCTGGCTGTTCTCGACTTAACCTTCAAATTTAGTTTACGAATTCTTTACCGTGTAACACGAGACACCGTTAACTGCAACGTGCATTGTGTTAAAGTGCTTCCAGATTTTGCTCGATGGTCAATATCCCTAATGCCCTTCGAACCCTTCGGCGAGGCAGGACGTCTTTCAACGGCATTTCCAGGTCGAGTCGTAAAGTGAAAAAAAAGGTCGAGTGTGATCTCCATTGAACGGTGAGTTTCAAAATTCTTAATTCGTGCTTGACGATCGTAGTTTCATTCTTATTTGTTTTCTTCTTGTTTTACGGTAATAAGTAGTACAACTCTGCAAAAATAAGTGAATACGAGAGTGCGTAGTTGAGAAGGGCCCCGAGTTGAGAAAAATTTTCCGAAAAAAATTAATAGTAAAGACATTGACTAAAGTTAGTAACTAATGTACGATTTATTTATAACACATTTACAACAAGTCCTCGATAGTATAGTGGTCAGTATCTCCGCCTGTCACGCGGAAGACCGGGGTTCGATTCCCCGTCGGGGAGAAGGAAATTTATTTTTATAAATTTTTACATTATTATTATTATCATATCTTTTATTTTTCTTCTCTCCCGCACTGATCACCATTCTTTAGTATACTCTATCATAATCATTGAGTATTTTTAAGTATACCACATACTTGAACACAAGGTTCTTTTTTTTTTTAATTAATAATTCTTTTTATGTACATAGGTACATCTGGTATCAAGTAGAGTCTTCAATCTGTAATATTAAGTGAGATAACTTTTTCCTTTTGTACATTTAAGGACCTCTTTCATAACTTTTGTTGTGTTATACATTTAATGGATCTTAATACATTTATTTTAGCAAATCTAAAGAAATGCAATGTCTATATTTGTTACACGAGTGTTTGCGTTAAATGAGAAGGTAGATTATTCATACAATTCCATATTTTTGTTAAAAATTTCACAAGCAATCCAACCCATATTCTGTAGAGAAACATTTCAGCTCCTTGTTTGTATTGCATTCGATAAATGTTTGTTCCAAAAACACGTCTAGCACTTATAATATAATTTCATAATCTTCTAATGTTGAAATAATACGACAATTTGTATTTTTTATTAGAATATGTGTCTTTAACTTTGTGTTCTTTTTTTTGTGTCTAAATGATCAAGTTCGATGACACATAAATAAGTTATCGTTATTTTTTTTTTTTGTATAATTGATATTAGAAGTTCTGTGTAAATAATTGCGTTTTGTAAAGTGTAAAAAGAAAAAAAAGTTAAGTCGACGAGGATGGGATTCGAACCCACGCGTGCAGAGCACATTGGATTAGCAGTCCAACGCCTTAACCACTCGGCCACCTCGTCTTCGCGTGAATTTTGACTTCAATATACGGAACATATTGCATTCCAAATTTCCCAGTTCGATCATCAGTCATCAAATTATTCTTATTTCCTTTTTTCGCTAGATAAAACAACCTCTAACCTCAAAACTGAAATTGATAGCTCGTAAACCTCATTTTACGTTAAGCAATACTGTTTAAGACAGGGACAAAATTTTATACACATAGTAGATTATCGAAATATTATTAATTAATTGAAATTTTTATTTAACAAATATCGAATACACGATTGTTCGTCTTTTATTCGTTCCTCGAAATTTTTATGCAGATAAGAATTTCGTTCCCGTTTCCTTCGGCAATAAAGGACGAAAAGGGGCGAAACTTTTTACGGAAGTTTTAAGAAATTGAAAGTAACGACCGGTTAATGTATTCCGCAATAACTCGTTTAGGCCAGATAACCGGCCGTTTGATTAGCCTGAAACTTTTATTAGAAAAGTTTCGAGCGATATAAATCGGGAGTCGAGAAACGGAGCTCGTTACGCGTAATCTGCATGCACGATTTCGGGGTGGTAGAACAACGGAAATAAAATTGGTACATTTGAGCAAGCCTTGTGTCGAAACGAGCCTTCCCTTGTGATTATGGTCGAAGATAACACTTAAAATTTTGCAATTTATGTAGGTAGTAGCTTTTATATTATTCGTGGTTGACGACCACTGGGACTAGCTGCAACGGTATTCGAAAAAAATACGTTTCGTCATCCATTATTTTCCCACATACGCGGTCGAAAACTAGCTTCCATTGGCTGCTCGCCAATTCCTATTCGTCTGCAATGCGACCTGTCCGCCATAGTTCAATTTTTCGAAGGGAATTTTTCTTCTCTGGTTTTTTTAGCCATAGAATTTCTTACGTACACTTTTCACTTTTGAAACAATTTACTAAGCATCGTGTATAAAAGGTTTATAAAAAAAAAAAAGAAAAACTTGGGTACAATTTGTTTCGGTGGTTCGGGAGACAATGAAACACGAAATTAGGATTTGATTGCGGAGACCAAACAATTTCTTACTTAGCAAGTATTTATTCGTCGACAATAAATAAATAAACAAGAGTATTTTATACAAATTTCCAACATTTACAAGTATTCGATTACCGTTATAAATAAACAAGAGTATTTTATACAAATATTCAACATTTACAAATATTCGATTACAAATATGAAAATTTGAAAAATTACGACCCGGATAAAAGATACACGACTTATACTAGCAGACTCGGAACGTAACGCTCCCCTCTCCTCTCCTTTTCTTTCTTCTTGCTATCTCCTCTGCCAACAGCCAGTCGCCACGGAACGAATTTCATTGCACATATTTCCTAACGAACGAATAAAAATTCAACTTTTATTATTCGAACGAAACACTGTCCATCGCGACGGTTCGAGTTGTACGCCCCTGACCCAGGGCAACAACGTTACGGTAAAACTATATATACATACGTACAGCGTAGTTTTACGAAAAGTAAAAAAAGAAAGGAACGGAGTTAAGTGGTCCGTGGGGATCGATTTCTTCGAAACGATCGGTCGAAGGGAATGATTCAACGATCTCCCATTACCAAGAAACAACGGGACGGTACTTTCTCCGTGAGAGAGGTAGTTTCGTCCAAGGTGCCGAGGTTGGCTCTCAGGAGAACATCGGAGATCACTTTCTCGGCGATGATGCTCTGCCGGGGCATCGACTTCCTCAGTTTATTGGCCACGTAACGGCCGAACGTCTCGTACTCGTCGTCGGGCACGCAGGTGGCAAATTGTCTGGAAGGAACGTCGCGAACCGACTCCTTCGTTTGTCGTTCCTGAAAGCCCTCCTGTTGATGTCTTCTTTTCAGATTGTCGGCGGCGGACGTCGACGACGAGATTCGCCTCGCGTACGATCCTTCGGTTTCCAGGATCACGGGGTTGAACGACTGGTCCGGCGCGATCTCGGGTGTCGGTACCGGCGACGGCGGTTCGATCTTGTCTACGTTGGCTTGTACGAACTAAAAAAAAACATAATTGACAGCCGTTTACTCGGGATTCTCTCGAAGCATTCGAATGTCTTCGCCGTCGGTAAGGAAGATCCAAGAAAAAAAAAGATTACTGCATTTGGGTCAAGCGAGTCTTCGGAGCACTGGTTTCTTTGAATATGCTAGTTATACCGATAGGGATCAGGAGATTACGGGCCAAGCGCCTCATACGGACGCAAACGTTTCAAGAATGACTGATGATTTTTTTATGACCACGTCCAACGTCATAATTCTCGTTCTCGTTATCAACGTGTACGAAAGCAACTGATTTTCAATCGATCTAAAAAAAAAAAGAAGATCTATTGAAAAAAATCGATTCGAAATCGAACATCCCTGGCACACCGTGCGCGGCGTTCCACGGCTGAGCGAATGCAGCCCCTATCGCTCCCGTCCCACCATATTGCGTCCCGTTTCATCCAGTCCGCGTCTCGTCTCGCTCTGGTCGGAATAAAACATTAAGACCGACTTCCAAGCGTGGCTCGCGCGCGCATAAATATTCGCGTAGAGAGCAAGTCGTCGCCGCGAGCGAGCATTTCGGCTTTGTTTCCGATTTACATGTAATTTCCTGCGTGGTGTAGCTCGACGAGGTTTCGGATCGATAAAGGTCCGTCTAGCGAAAGAGAGATGGCACGAGCAATGCCACAGTGGGGGGTGTGCGGGGGAAAGAAGAGAGCATACACACGGTGGGAGAAAGAGCGAACGGAAGAGACGAAAAGGGGCTCGGCCATATCGGAGATATATTGTTGGCGAGACGCGTAAGCGTCAACCGTTTCGTCCGTGCATGCAACGCGCGACATTACGGCGACGTTTGGCCAACCGAGCACGCCAGTCTCCCAGGGATCGTCTGGAAACGTAATTCTACGGTCGGTTTGCGTGGGTTTGGCCGCGTTAGTTTGGTCCCCGGATAGCTAAAAAAAAAAATCATTCAGAATCGTACCATTTCCTCGTGATAGTTATCCGTGGGTAACGCGGTATTCTTAAAATTGTCATCATCGTCCAGGCCAGTTCCCTCGTTTTGCTCGGCCACGAACTTTAGAATATCATAGTACCATAACGAAGACCTGTACCGTTGCCGAGGATTCTTAACCATCCTCTGGGAGCTCCGGACCTTCTTGTACTCCCTTCGAAACGCCGTTCTGAGGGTGTTGATCTTTCGTATCACGGTCTCTCTGTCGGCCAACGGATTGACCTCCCGCAATTTTTGTACCAGGGCGTCGTACGCGCGGTTTCTCAGCAGCCTGTCCTTGTATCCTCTGTACCTGACCTGCCACAAGCAGGGATAGCTTCGGTACATCTGTATGAACTCCGTGAGGAAGTCGTGCGTGTAGCCGATCAGGTCCGGATTCGACATCATGGTAGCCAGTGGCCGGGACCCGCCGAACGAAACGTTGCTGCACGCCAGAGTCGTAGCCGCGTCGATCGTTTGCGCACGTTGGTTCGCGTTCGAAGGTTCTCGATTCACGGGCGTTGGAACGACGTAACCGGGATACGAATATGGCGGAGCGTGAATGACCACGCTCGACGAACGACTGAGGAGCCACGAGTACACGGAGACGCTTCTCGGACGGCGATCGTCGTCGGTCGCCAGACACCGGTCGCGTACACGCGTACCTCTGCAAGTGGGTAGCGACGCGTTTGCTCAAACCATGTTGCCAGATCTCGTACGCCGCGAACGTGGTTTGCTCGTGCTTGCGCAGCCACCGACCACGTCATACGGATCTCGTGTCGCTCTTTCGCGACGGTTCAGGGGCGGCTTTATGACGAACCATCCGCTTAGGGCCCCACATTTCTTCGTCCAACTACTTGGGAAAAATCTCAAGCCTCCAACGGGTCTAGTCTATGTCATGTAATTAATAATTAACCTCAAACCTCTACCCATGTAATTATTATGGTATTTATTATGTGGATTCTTAACGTTACGAGAACTATTCTCGTACGTATATGTAATTGTTTAACATCGACGAGAATTCCTTTGTCCAGCCACTCTGAGAGGACTGTAAAGAATGAAACGTTTCGTATTTGGTTTCGTGGTAGCAAGTTTGCGCAAACGCGTCGCGTCTCCGTGTTCAGCGCCCGTCCAAGAGATGTTTATTTCCTGGTTATCGTTGCCAACGTGACCACGCAAACACGTTTCGCGGGTTCGTCGAGTGCGACGCTTTATGCACCGCCACGCCTCGGTGTATAGCACTCGTCCCGTGCGTTGCACGGCTTAATTCTTGACTCCTCGTGTTGGGACCACGTCTCCCAAAGTTTCCGGTCAAACAGAATCCCACGAAAGCTGGCTCAAATTAAAAGTTTTCAGATTTGCATGAATTGTCAAACTCGTATCAATCTCTATTTCTATTTCTATTTCTACTTTTTTTTCGGTGCGATACTGGCACTATCGGCTTCGTAGTAACACCATTTATCTTCTATTTTTAATTTTTAAATTAATGTTAAAATATTCTTGTACTTCTTGATTACTAATATAAAAATTTTGATGTACCTAAAATGGTTTTATAAAATCGTTTATGTACTTCGATTCGAGTGACAAGTTTCATGAAAGAAGATGTATCGAAGGTGGATAATCGTTATACAAAATGGCGATACGAGTTATTTTCACTCCTTTGGTAGATCTAGCGTTAAAGTCACTCGAGGAACTATAGTCCAAGCCCTAGTTTCGATCTAGTCCTAATGAAGTCACGTTTTCTGAGAAGCGTCTTCAGAAGCGACGGGGTTACGAAATTTTTGTACGGGGCGTCCGGTTTCGCGAGATTAACCAAGAGAACCGAGACGCCACAGACTCGATCGACTCGTAGATAGCGGGCGTTCGCGCGACCTTATATGGTGCTAGCTACGAATCCGTTCGCAACGATATCGCGATATCGCGTCGACCCTGCCCCCTGGCCAGCGAAGTCACCCAAAAATCCGGATTACGCTCAAGGACCGTTTCCCGACGAATCCACACCCGACCCTGATCTCTTTCGATCCGTACTCGCGTCTCGCTTCGATGCTCTCTTTCAACAATTTCGTCTTTCCCGCCGCGAAACGTCTGCATCTGTCGCAAACACGTCGCGTCGAACGTTGCAAGCATCGTTGCGCAAGTACACGAAATATTCGTCGCCGTTAGAATTACGCTCGTATGACCCCATGTAACGCGTTATGTACAAATGATTCACGTTTAACTTTTCTCGTTTAAGTTGAATATTAAGGAAAAACTATGTTACAAACGAAATATTTGCGTTTTATTAAAATCAGACTAAGAACATTTTAAATAAAAAACTTATACATATGTAACGAACGCGAAATTGATTATGAACTGTACAAATCATTATAAATTTCACAGTTCAGAAATATAACGTGGGAAATCCCTGCGTGTTATACGAGGGATATGAAATCGCGTTATAAGAGTACCGTGTTATAGGGGAGGATTACTGTATTTTAAACGATACGGTACAGTAATGATTCGTAAATTGAACATTTTTGTCATGAAAGCAACATGTCAAAATAGGTTATGGTCGTTGAGAAATTTCACTTTAAAATTGTCAATGTGATTATAACGTTACAAAGTGCTATTCGAACGTGTTGAATTTTACAAGAGAAAGGTGAATAAGCATTTTCTGTAGTAAAATCATGCGTTTTAGATTCTCGGCGTTGACAGAGGGGGGTAAAGAGTGGAACGAACGCAGTCGCGCGCGCGAAATGTATTCCGAAAGAATCGCCGTGGCGGTAAATTTGATGCGAAAAGATCGCTGGATAACGGTGACCAGAGGGAGGGGTGGGGAGGGCTTGAGCGACGCTGACCTTATCGAGAAAAATGTTGGTACTGGCGCCAGCGAGTTTCTGCGTGGCGCCTACCAGCACCTCTTGCAAAAACTTGCTCCTCGAAAGCGCGACATGACGTTTGGTTTTATGCACGCACGTGCTCGCCTCGACCTACGAGCGAAAGTAAGTCCTCAGCCACTTGTACGGCCGCCATCTTTGTTTCACCGCCTGGACTTAACTCGACATCGAAGACTAAATAACTAAAACGCATGCTCGTTAAATAAAATTTTTATATATTGATTGGAATACAAATTTTTTAATATATTAAGTATACTTTATACAATAACCTTACAGTGAAAAAAATTATGAGTGACTCGATGTTCAAGCAATGTTCACGCACGTCAGGAAATATTGCAAGATTATTTTAAACGCTAAGATTTGCACCGCAGGGGTCGTTCGTCGGGTCTTGAATTTGGCATAAGCGTCCCTCGAGCGGGTGGGAATCGACCATAAATCGTACCCGTGCTCACCGCCGAAGAAGTGATTCGGGGGAGGATTCCGGAGCACGGGCGAATCAGCGTTTCTTGAATTCCACGGGCATAAATTTGCTTTGTCGTGAAACTCTGAATACTTTCGGTCTCCGGACACGTCCTTACAAAAAAAGGTACGAAACAATCAATAATCCCTCGATATAACGATGGATGTCCCCCTCGATTAAGGGACACGAATCGAATCTATTTATACGCGAAGGAGACCAAAAGATAATCTCTTCTGTAATTAATCCTTTGGTTACGAAAACATCTGTAGGGTCCATAGCTTCCTGTACTCGCCACCAGAGGGACTGCCCTTCTCGCTAGTACTCGACAGACCTTCCATTAGTATACAAGGTGTTCGGTCACACTTGGGAAAAATTTTAATGGGAGATTCTAGTGGCCAAAATAAGACGAAAGTCAAGAATATGAATTTGTTGATTGAGGCTTTGTTGAAAAATTATTAAAAAATTTCAAATCGTTCTAAGAAAATTATTGTCAGTTGCGAGGGTCGATTACAATCATTTTTGGTCAACACATATACCCCGGAAATCCTACGCGTTTTCGAGAAAAAAATTTGAATAGGTGGGCAAGTTTTTCGACAAAATCAAAATATTTCAAATCGTTCTAGAAAAATTATTTTCAGTTGCGGGGGGCGATTACAGTCATTTTTAGTCAATACACATACCCTCGAAATCCTGCGTGTTTTCGAGAAAAAAATTCAAATAGGTTTGCAAGTTTTTCGAGAAAATTAAAAAATTTCAAATCGTTCTGGAAAAATTATTTTTGGTTGCAGGGGTTGATTATAATCATTTTTGGTCAATACACACACCCCCGAAATGCTACGTACTTTCGAGAAAAAAATTCTTTACCGAAAATATATTGTGTGACCGGAAATGAAGCCTCAATCGACAAATTAGTATCGTTGATTTTCGTCTAATTGATGTGCTTGCGTAAAAATCGACCGTAGATTAAAGATTTAAAGCAGATATATTACGATGTTAAACTCCTCAGTGTTTTCGATATCGAGAAAATGGTTTGTTCCTCTGTTCGCGACACGAAGTAAAATGGCGACGAACGAGGCGAAGTCGACCTCGTTTCGAAGCGGAAAGAATAAAGCACCGTTCTTGCCGGGATTGGGCAAACAATCCTCGGGGTCAAGAAAGCTTGGGGATCTTCGTCGCGGGACGAGAGTGCTTTCGGCCTTGGCTTTGTTGGAAACTAGCGCAGCTGCGAGTGTCACTCCGGGGGTTAGGTTAATTACGGTGGTCCTTTCGACGCCTTCAAACCGCGGGCATTAATCGTCGCGAAACGTTCTCGCTTTGACGAGTCAACGTTCTCGTTCTGCCTCGACTTCCGCGATTATTTCCTTCGAAAGAGATCTCCGAATACGAACGAACAATCGCGCGACGCGTTTGGACGAATACTTTCACCGTGTTTATAGAGTCCAGCCGATTCGAGGCGCTTGAAATCCCATCGGTAGGCGCGGGGCGTAGAAAAGAGGGCAAATCGCTAGCGAAAGAACGCGGTTACGTAACTGGTCGCGGTGCAGCAGAAACACGAGCGCGTTGGGATTTGCGAAAGGACGCGTGGAAATTGTCGGGGACGTGGAACGAGAGATCGTGCTTGGCCTGCACCACCTGCCTGTACTCTCAAGGTGTCTGAAATATCCCCAGATTTTTTTTTTTTTTTTACACTCGTGCGACAATTTTTCGTGTGAACAGAGCACGGTAAATCTTTGAATTTCGTGGTTTCGACTTACTCGAATCCGTAGATTAAAACATGATACAGAGGTAAACTCGTTCAGATAGGTCTGCTCGAGGCAAAGTAAAATTATAATTTCGTAATTTTGTGATAAAAATTTCATTTGTTTGTTTACGATTTTTCACGTTTCAGGAAGACAGTTTGGGATATCCCGGTCTGAAACTACGCTCAGGAGGTCCATTGTACAAATTACAGTTCACTGGCTCGACACTTAATCTGTATCGATCGTGACACGGTCGTCGGTTAAGCCTTCTTGTAACCGTAGTCCGAGCGATTATGTTTGAAGTGCCGCGTGTATAGCTCGACGAGCTAGAAAAGATCCCTGGAGGGAGTGGTCAGTCAGCGCAGGGGGCCATCGGTGGGGATGAGGCACGAGCAACGGAGACGTGACACAAACAAAATTTAAACCGTAAGCGTTTAGAAATATTTGCGTTTATTAATTTTTTATAATAAAATTCTAGGAGCAACGAGGGGTGAACGTTCGACTGGAAGGAATTTCGGTGTCCTCAACCCAGGCGATTT